GGCTGTGTCCACCTCTTCATTCAGCCTGTGAGTGGACATCCGGGCTGTGTCCACCTCTTTGAGCCCCTGTGGATGTGTACCTTGGCTGTGTCCATCTTGTGTTAATCCAGCCCCCGCGAATAGACACCTGGTCTGTGTCCACTTCTTTTTTGTCCAGTCCCTGTGAGTGGGCACCCAGGCTGTGTTCACCTTTTGTTCATCCAGCCCCTGTGAATAGGCACCCACCCCTGTGGATGGGTAACTGGTCTGTGTCCATCTCTTGTTTGCCCAGCCCCTGTGGATGGGTACCTCATGTTCACTGTTCCTTCCAGTTCTCCCCACCTGCCCTCAGCCTGAAGCCCTGCCCTGGCCCTCTCCACTTAGGGCCCTAATGTCCTCACTTTCTGGGATACAGCCTGGTCACTGTGGGCAGGGTAAGTGGTGCTCAGCACCCACATTTCTGGGCTATGTGCTGACATAGTGATGGCTCGCTGTGGCGATGTGACCCCTGGAGACGCTCGGGGTCGTAGCAGTGGAGGCTTGGGCTCCTGGCAGAGGCAGCTCGAGCAATCCTGCATCCCCTTCATGGCAGGCTCCCAGCCCTGCCGTTCTGAGTCCAGGAGCTAGTCCTCAGGGAAGCCTTCCTGCTTCCCTCTGCCACCCCCAAATCCTGGGCGAGTGCTTGGGGCTCCTCTATGCCAGGTGGTTCTGGGTGGGCTCTGGGCTCATTAGTGCTATGTTCATGCCAGGCAGCCTGGTACTCATGCTGGTACCTGGGCTCCTCCTTGTGGGTACACAGCCTTTTGGACGGCTCCAAGTCCATGCCAGCCTCCTGGACAGCCCCATGTCCACAAGAACCCCCTGGACGGTGCCATGTCCAGAGCACCCCCTGGACAGTCCCACATCCAAAGTAGCCCCTGGATGGCCCCACATCTGTAGTAGCCCCAGTTCCAGCCTCCTGGATTTCCTTATGTCTGACCAGGCTCCCGATTGGCTTCATGTCCAGGCTAGCTTCTCAGGTGGTCCCACCAACTGTTCTTTCTCTTCAGATCTGCACATATTTTCACCTTGAGCGTCCCCTCATAAGCCCCTTGCTGATCTCTGAGACATAGCCAGGCGCAGCACACCCAGGAGGGTGGCTGCAGTGGCCTCAGCCCATCCCTGCGTGGACAACTTCTGAGCCATGCCATCTCGGGCCATGTGGCATCCTGCCGAACTGAGGTGCCTTGGTCCAGTGGCTAGGACAGCAGAATGCCCAGGGTGGGGGTGAGGGGTCAGGATGCCAAGGCCAGTGAGTGTGTCTGTGTGTGTGTGTGTTTGTGTGTGTCTGTGTATGTACGCGCGCGCTGAGGACGGGATCAAGAAGCTTGGCTATGTGAGGCGCTCCAAGGCCCTATGCCATGTACTTCCCTCACCCAGTTCTCAGAACGCTGACCAGGACCCTCATCATGCTGCCCCCCAGGCCAGGACATCACGGAGGGGGTCCCGAGGAAGCACCGCAGCCCCTGCTCAGTATCCTCAGGTGATTGTCCATCACATGCCCACCTTGACCTGGTACCGAGGTAGAGAGTACACTTACTCTGGGGACGACTCCGGGGTCAGGTTGGACATTTCCTCTGGCGTCGGGACTGCATAGAAAACAAGCAGCAAGAAAGAGCACAATGACCACCTGGCCCATGTAGAGCCACGGGGGTCACTGCGGCCCCACACTCTGGGGGCTGTCTGCAGCGGGGTCCTGGGGAGGGGCTCTGCAGATCCTGCACAGCCCAGCTAGAGCAATGACCACGGAGCTGTCCATTGATAGAGTGCTGAAAACATTGGCCTTCTCTGGCTCCAGCCCCTCTGTGTCCCTTGTCCCATTGGCTGTGCAGGGCAGCGCAGCTCATGGCCCCTGCCCACAGCAGCTCTGACCTTAGGAATTCTCTACTGTCCACACCCTCTCACACCCTGTGCTCAGCAGGGGGTCTCAATTAAAAGACTCAAGGGACCAGGAGGAGCTTGGCCGGCCCTGGGTCCCACACTGTGGTGTGTCCACACGGAGCTGGCCCTGAGGAGTGGCTACAGAGGACCCTAAGCAGGTGAGCCCCAAGGACGTTACTAGTGGACCAGGACCTGAGAGGCGGGGTCCCATGGCTCTGCCCACACCAACAGCCCCGCCCACAGGTTGACCCACCCACGCCTACACCCTCACCCATGCTGACGGCTGGCCCACAACTCCGCCTACACTGGCACCCTTACCCATGCCCCTGCCCATGGCCCCGCCCATGCCTATGGCCTGCCCACAGCCCCACCCACACAACACCCTTAACCATGCCCCTGCCCACAGCCCGCCCACCGGCCTACCTATGCAGACAGCCGGCACACCCCCACCCTCGCCCCACTACCCATGCAGACAGCCCACCCACACCAATGACCTGTCCATGCAGACAGCCCCACCCACACCCCCGCCCCATGACCCATGTAGACAGCCCGCCCACGCTGATGGCCCACCAATTGCCTTGTCCATGATGGCAGTCCCGCCCACACTCACAGCCCTGTCCACTGCCCTACCCATACAGACAGCCCCATCCATGCCCACTGCCTCGCAGGCTGCCGTCAGTGCCCCGCCCACACCCAATGCCCCACCCGCGCCTCGCCCACACAGGCTGCCTGTCCATGCCCCGCCCACTCACAGACCCGCCCACCCAGACTGCCCATCTGTGCCCCGCCCACACAGGCTGCCCCGCCCACGCAGGCTCCTGTACATGCTCCGCCCACTCACTGCCCCGCCCCCACACACAGCCCCCGCCCACCTTGCAGTTTCCGGCGGTGGAAACGTGGTGAGCCGAGGAAGCTGTTCTTGATGGAGTTGAGCCGTGTCCTCCAGGGCACACCCCCTACGCTGGGGCTGGACGGCGGCGTGGGTGTGGGCGTGCCCGCCGGGCTCTCCTTTGGTGTGTGTACGGGCGTCCCCTTGGGGGTAGGGAGGGGACTGCCCCTCGGAGAGGGGTGAGGGGTCACCTGTATGGTGGGGACAGATTTGGCGTTTGCATCGGTCCGGGGCGGCGGGGGCCGGGCAGGGACCGGCAGGCCAGGGGGTGGGGCCGGCGGGGGCCCGAGGAGCCCAGCGGCGATGGGGGGCCGGGTCTGGGCGCCAGCTGGGGGCGGGTGGGACCTGGCACCCTGCAGTGGCCGGTCAGTGCGCGCGCCCTTGCACGGCAGAGTCTGAGTCCGGGGGTTGGGCCGTGGGGCCGGTGCTTGGGGGGCGTGTCCGGGCCGAGAGGCGCTCCGACAGGCTCCGGGCTCCGCCGAGGCGGCCAAGGGACAAAGCAGGAGGGGCGGATCGGGGGGCGGAGGGGGCAGGACAAACTTCCTAACAGGCTACGGGGAGCACGCGAAGGGTAAGGGTGTCCAGGCCGAGTGCCCGCGCCCGCATGCCCATGCACCCACGTGCGCACACGCAGCCCAGAGAATCCCAGCAGGGATGAGGGGCGGGGAACATGCAGGCAGGGGCAGGCGTGCAACAAAAGAAAACACCGGACATGAGAAAAAAACAGAACAGAACAACGTGCAGTTAGCAGAGCTGTGCGCAGGCGCAGAGGCGGGCAGTGTGGGGGTTGGGGGGCCCAGCAGCGGAAGCCGAACCAGCCCGGGCGAAGGGGGGGCCTCTGCCTGCCTGTGGGGTGGGGGCTCGCCCAGGGATCCCTGGGCGCTGGAGCGGTCTGAGGTGGGGTCATCTGGGGTCCCTTCCCGCCCTGCGCACCGCGAGGAGACCAGGGGCGGGTCACTCACCCGGGGGCTGCTGAGTGGACTGGTGGACAGGCCGGAGGAAGCCCCGCTGATAGACCGAGACCTGGAGACACAGGGAAAAGGAGACTGCGCTAAGTGGACCCTCCAGGAGGCCACAAGCTTGACCGAACCACTCATGCTGGCCAGCACCACTGAGCTCAGGGGCACTCAGCATGGAGCAATCACAACTGCTGTCCCCACCCTCCAGTGCAGCTGGGCTCCCCACGCAGCAGTCCAGGGTGGGCAGGAAGGCCCAAGACAAGGAGTGGACTCAGCCCCTATCACAGGCCTTGTCCCGCCCAGCCAGGCCAAGGCCTTTCTCCCCTCAGCCACTGCCCTACTGGGCTCTGAGCATGTCCAGCCACAGTGCCTGGCCTCACCTGAAGAAGCCAACGATGCCACCCAAGCCCTGCCCACAAGAGCCTGTGCTGAGTGGGCAGGCCAGTGGGTGCTGCAGGCCAGAGCTGCCAGGCACACCCAGGCCCGGCCTGGGCCCACTGTCCCTCCACCAGGGGAGCAGGATACACAAGTGCCTGCATGCCCCTGGGTGCCAGCACCCATGGTCCTGAGCAGGGAGGTGGAAGGGGGTGGAGAGCAGTGTGAACAGTTCCCACCTGCCCTCATCCTGTGTCACCACGCTGTCCCGAGACTGGCTCCCTGAATCCAGCCTGTGGCCCTGTGGCCTGCCTGGGGCTAACAACCCTCTTGACCTAACACAGGGCCAGGGAGGTGGCAGTGACCCTATGTACCATACCAGCTCTCCTCCCTCAGCCCTTAGCTGAACTGGACAGAACTCCCGATGTGCACCTGGGCCTGGTGCTGAGAAGGGGCCCCCAGCTGCCTGAGGCAGGAACCTGTCCCCAACCATGTCACAACCCCATCAAGCAGAAAAGGAGCAGAGGAGGGAGGGGGCATGCTCCACCCCAGCCCCTGCTTTCTTTCTGGGGTACTTGGAGCTGTCGGGGCACGAGGGGGGGGGCAGGCAGGAGCACAGCTGTGCACAGATGCAGGGACAGATGGAACTGGCCAGGGCCCAGCCCCAGGGCGGCAGGAGGTCTAGCAGTGGCCTGAAGAGGCAGCATGGCAGGACCCTCGACCCCCTCTCATTCTGCTTCTCCTGAACTGTCCAGGCTGCCCTTCAAGGCACCCCAGGGCCCCAGCCATGCCCCCAGGGGTGTGCCACCATGCGGGGTTCCAGCCTTGGGTTGTGGGATGGGTGTCCCTCACTAGGGGTCCTCCTTGGCCTTGGCTGGCCTGTCCCAGGGAGGGACCGCGTCTGGGCAGGAGCGGGAGGGGCGGCAGGGTGTGTACCTGTCTTCTTTGTTGAATTGGGGATGGGCCTCTGCGATATCCAGGCTTTTACTGAACACTGCTTTACTATAGCAGGAACAAAGCGAGAAAACACAGTTAGGACGCGGCCACGCCAGGCCAGCCCTTCACTGTGGCTTCCATGTAGCTCAAGGCTGGGGATGGCCCTGGGGCAAGGGCACCAAGTTGGGGCAGAGCCTACCCGACCGCAGGCCAGGGAGAGGCAGAGGGAGCTGGGCAGATCTGGCGGATGGGAGTCCTGTGGGCAGCGTGACTGGCCGGGCCTGTGAGACCGGCTCCCAGTGCCATGCCAGCCCCCTCAGTTGGCCCCTTGTGGTTGTGGGTGAATGGCCAGGTGCCTCGGGGCTGCAGGAAGTTGAGCCATGATGGAACAAGGGGTCCTGGGAAGAGCTCTGGGTAAACAGCCAGAACTTTTCAGAGTCTGCTCAAAGTCCAAGGTCTATACTTCTGTCCCACCCAGCATAATCCCCAGAGGCAGCGAGGCCTGGGGCTGGCAGGGGAGCTGGAGGGCTGGTGGTCAGAGTTCCCACAGGGCATGGGGCCTGGGCAGCTGTGCTCTCCTGTCCCCCCAACCGGACACCCAGGGAGAGGCAGCAGGGGGCCAGGGCCTTGCCAGCCATGCCCACCTATCCCCAACCCTGACACACAGGGATGCCTACACTGGGGAGGGCCTCAGAGTGAACTCTCATCCTGAATGTTGGGGTCAAATAGGAGGCCCCCCAAAGGACTCTGGACATGAACTGGGGCTGCCAGCCACTGCAGAACTCCAAGGGGCCTCCCTAGGGCCTGAGTGTCCAAGGACTGGGATGAGCCCCCCCCCCCCCAGCTCTTGGAGCTGAGGCCTCGGGCTGCCTGGATGGGTCTGAGGGCAGGGAGCCAGCCCAGGGCAGTGTAGTCTAACACCCAGGGACATTGCAAGGGTGGCCCAGTGCTCTGTGCAAATTCCTCAGGAGCAGACTGGCTCTGCACCCTCCTATCTGGCAGGGCTGTGTGTCCTGGAGCCGTGGATACCGGGGGCTAGAGCCCGGGGCATCCAGGCTGCTCAGCCTCTGGCCATGCTCTGTGTCCAAGGTAACAGAAGCCCCAGCCTGGGAGGAGAATGTGTGTCCTGCCCAGACCCAGTCAGCCAGAAGCTCTGTGAGGCAAACACCTGCCCCAGGGCATCACGGCTCCTTCAGCATCCATGTCCTGCCTGCCTCAGTCCCAGCAGATGACACCAGGCAGGGCTGCTGTGGGAGCACCCCTCTGGGATACCTTCTCTGAACCCCAAAGATACATAAGCTACCACAAGGCCCAGGCAGAACAGGACTGGTCCAGCCCACCAGCTAAGTCTGGGTGAGGCCACCTGCCCAGCTCAACCCGTTCCCCTACCCAGCCCACCCAGCTCAGTCCAGCTCAGCCCTAGCTGGTCAGCCCAGTGCAGCCAAGTTGTGCTCAGCCAAACTGAGCGACTCCAGCCCAGCCCTGTACTCTAGAGCCCACCCAGCTCAAGCCAAGCTGACCAGCCCGCTGAGGCCAGCTCTTCTGCTGAGTGCTAATCCTGAGCCAGTGAGGCCCAGACCAACCAGTGGTCAGCGTGGCCATGAGCTGTGCCAGCGCCGCCCAGCCAGACCTCCCAGGAGTACACACCTCTGGCCGTGCTGGGCCATCTCGATGGCCCTCCGAGCAGGAACGGGTGAGCCGCCATCTGTCACGCTCAGCACCTCCATGGACTTCCGCTCGGGCCGCCGCTTGCCGTGTCGGTTCAGCATCGGGGAGTCCACGCGCTTCCGGGGAGGGTCTGTGCACAGACAGAGGTCAGGCCGCACCCCCAGTCAGTGCAGCCCACTCTGAGCTGCCCACAGACCACCTACCTATTTCATTCCTGGGGGGCAGGTCCTCGTCCTCGTGGCTAGGGTACCGCTCCTTCCGGTCCAGCAGGAGGAAGTAGATCATCTTCTCCTGGTTCTCCCTGTGGCCACCAGGGAGATAGCACAAGGCCGCTCAGGGGGCCTGCTACTGGGTAGTGGTCCCAGGTTCTCGGGCCACACACTAGCTATCACCGATGGCCACCTTGGCCCTCCTCGCCTCTCCCTCCTGACCATGAAAGCCTGGTTTGGAGCCCTCAGATTTGGGGTCACCTGTGGAGAGCCGCCATGTCGCACAGCTCACACTTGATGAAGCACTTTCTCAACAGCAGGC